CCTTTGCGTGTCATGTCTCATTTGAATTGGTATCTTACCTGTACAAAGATCCTGTTAACATTGCAAGCTTTGAGCTTGCAAAGTATAATTATATATAATTACGTTTTCTTCTTCGTCTCCTTTATCCTTCCAGAACATTATCTGATAATCCATTGAAGGTAATCGAGCCACAGGCTTTTCGTTTTGAGCCTGGTAAAGTGCAAATGTAAGTTAACGCGAATTTTTAACTGAATGTCATAAATTTTGATTTAGCAGTTGCTCAGCCTTTGGGAAATGTGAAATAAGGAAAAAAGATGCAAACCCAAGTGGTCCTTCTCGAAGAACGGTTAAGTTAATAATAATACAAATTTAGAAAACCAATGGAACTAAGCGATGATTCAATTCCAGCGAACCTTGTCCAATTGTGAACGGGGCGAATATCCCTAAGAGATATTATGTATTTCGTTAGAGCGGTCTAACTGCTACACTTCATTAGTCTGGGATATCTTTCTTTTTCTTCGTCTTTCTAACAGATTTCTGCTACGGACGATGTTAAAGTCATTCACCTCCGCATCCCTTACTGGCCTTACCGTCGTCAGCTTCAAATTGTGACGTATTTTGTATTTCTTCAAGTCATTATCCACACCTTAGTCCCCATAGACCCTCAGAGTGCTCACACCTCTTCTGACCGCCATATCTATGCCAGCTTTATTTGTTCGGTCCTATGAAGTTTCTTTGGCCACATTTTGTTTTAATCATCATGAAAGACACTTTACTTAATGGTGGATTTCTATTTTCTTCGTTATTTCAAATAGAATATAACAGTTGTATGGGTTTATCCAAGGCTGATTTTATCGATTAGTTTTGGACATTCTTGAATCAATTTTTTTGTTATATTGATAAATGACGTTATATTTAAGGATTGTTTAGAATGCCTCTGTTGTAGGGTCTCATTGGCTTTAAAGACACACCTATCTCGACACACCTATCTCGACATTATTATGACAGGAAAAAGCATTCGTACTTAAAAATTGTATAATTTTGCGAAAATTGTCTGAGAGAGGGTTTTAAACCAGAGGATAGCAAGTTGTAATTTGTTGCAGAAAACAAGTATCCTTTTTGCTCGTTCTGCAATGTTAACTTGAAAGCTTGACAAAATCTAAGCGACGTTCTTTCGATGTTGTTGCAGTGTTTCATGGAAAAGAATTGCGAGAACTATGAATTATTTCATTCCGGGAGGCAACATCACAATTTATCTGTAAAGAAACCATGTATCATTCTGAATATTGTAGATCTTTGCGATATTTTTGTTTACATCCCACAATATAGCACATTGATATAAGTGCTACAAGAAGCCACAAAGGGGGTTGCCCTGTATAATACCGAATCGAGCACCATACTGAAAGAGTAAGACGCATAAACTATCGTTGATTATGACACGTGAGATTCCTAAGCGTGCCGAATAAAGTACGAGACTTGAAGTCAATATTACTTACACGTGCGTGCCGAATAGGGTACAAGTGTTGTAGACAGTCTCACTCGACATGTGCGTTTTCTGTGCGCGTCAAATAGAGTGCGAGACTTGCATTCAATCTTACTTGACATATGCAATTCTGTGCGTGCCGAATAGAGTGTGTGTTGTAGTCAATCTCACCCGGCATGTGAGTTTTCTATGCGTACTGAACAAAGTACGAGACTTGTAGTCGCCTTCCTTTACATGTGCATTTTGTGTCTGTGCCGAATAGAGCACGAGACTTGTAGTCAATCTCACTTGACATGTGCCTTTTGTGAGTGCCGAATAGAGTACGAGTGTTGTAGTCAATCTCATTCGACATGTAAGTTTTCTGTGAGTCCCGATTGCGAGAGTCAATCATAGATATATATATATATATATATATATATATATATATATAGATATATATGACATATGCGTTTTCTAAGTGTGCCGAAATAAATGCGAGACTTGAAATCAACTCGTTTGACATGTGTGTTTTCTATGCATGCTGAATAGAGTGTAAATTTTGAGGCAATCGTACTTGACATGTGTTCTTTGAGAGTGCTAAATAGAGTGCGAGACTCGAAGTCAATCTTACTTAACATGTGTGTTTCCTGAGTGTGCCGAATAAAATGCGAGACTTGAAGTCAATGTTATTTGACATGTACGTTTTCTGTACGTGTTGAATAGAGTGTGAGATCAGTAATTAGTTCCAATGACTGGAGGGTGTGGTGCGAGTTTTTCTTCAAACACCAAAACCAACTCTTTTGGAAGAGTAACTCTGATAAGCTCAGATATAGGGCAAACCAAACCAAGAGATGCGGTGTTGATTGCAAATAGGACCCGAACTTTGCTCATTACGTATTGTTCACCTGCGAAGAATTTGGTGCGATCACCTTTCATTACGCAATGTCAAGTAACTAGCACTAAAAATATATTCCGTTGTCCATGTTCCTTAGGTTAGGTTTAGTTAAGTAAGTTAGTAGTTAAAGGGGTAAGTTTCTAAAGAAACTGTGGTGCTGCGTCGGTGGGAGAGTATAGCAGGTAATTTAGTGTTAACAACTCAGTTGAAAACGTAAATCGGCGACCGTAAAGATAAAAAAAAGTTCTTTGAGGTTCACAAGTAGTTTCTTTATCGGCTATCACATTCTTCGCCTACTTAAACATTTATCAACTTTGGAGAATATTACTACGTTATCTTTACCTAATATTTGTATTATCTTTGCCTTGAAAGCCTATTTCGGTTACCGTATTTTTTTTTCGGTTATAAGGCGCAGCAAAGAAAAGAAAGAAATTTTGCCTTTTCACCTTTGAATTGTCTCAGACTCGGGGTGCGCCTTATAGCCAAGTATTTTCATGCAACGAAATTCAAGAATGTCCTATTTTCTAACTTTAACCTGGTATAAAACAAGATAAATAGATAGAAGGCTGGGAATATTGGTTATTGACTTTACTCGACTTGGTGGTTCTGAATAGAACCGTTCAATTAATACTGCTGCAGGAACGTTTTATTCTCCTTCTTCGCCTTCACTGTCGGTCTCGAATTCATTGTCAATAATCTCCTCTGCATCTTCCGTCTCTTCATTCTCTTCTTCCCAAACTACATCGTCTTCTAAGCCGTCTGGCGCATTCGCGATTCCACAGGATTTGAACGACTTCTCAATTAAATCTTGAGGAATTCCGTTCCAGGCGCGATTGATCCAGGTCAACACCAATTCTTCGCTCGGCGCTCTCTTCTCTCCAGATGGGGTATATGTGAACGGGCTATTTACCATCCATCTTTCATACAGCATTCGGAGTTTGGCTTTGAAAGGCTTGTTTATGCACTTGTCTAGGGGCTGCAAAACGGACGTCAGGCCACTGGGAATAACAGTAACATCAACAGTTTGTCTCGCAAGGAGGTCCTTGACAGCGTCGGTCAAATGACCACGAAAAGAATCCGAAACCAAAAGCGCTCTCTGATGTGGCGTGAATCGGAGATTTTTCCGAATCCAATCTTTTGTTCCTATGAAAGAAAAAGAGAGAAACAACTTTGATTAGGCCTACGGCAAAAACAACCTTTTTAAAACGTACTGCTATCAGATCGATTTGATCGATATCGGAAGTGTCATTTAAAGCCCACGTGCTTAAAAATATGATATGAATGATGTCACAATTCTGAGAAATCTCCGCGCCGTATAACTTTTCGATTGAAAGATAATTAAACAAGAAAAGAAAAATACCTTCTTCGTCCATCCATCCTTTCTTATGTACCGAGACCTGCATACAAAGCCATTTGTTACAATAAATAACATTTTCATCATAGGACCTTGTTGTTGTCCTTGTTCTGTTGGAAAAATTGTCGCGACCTACATTTGAATAACGCTACTTGAGTATTGGTTAAACAGGGTAAGAATTAGGAGACCCGCAGTCACTCAATTTACTCAACGTTACACTTGGAGTGTAGCGTCCTGTGGGTAGTTTTGATTTTTTGTAAAACGAGTGCCCTAAAGATTGGACAAGAATTCAACGCCAAACAAACTTTGTCACCGAAAGGACAGCGTTTAAAGCGAGGTCAATTCAGTCATAATTTATGGGACGTGCTCTTTTCGGCATGGTGCTCTATTCGGCATTTTTCGTGGCATGAGTGTATTCCGTGTTTTTCGTGTTGAAGATGTTTCCTGAATGGAGTTTAAACTGGGCTTTGGGGTCCTAACAAGTTTCCATTTCCCCTGAATGGAGATTTCCCTTCGATGGAGGAAACAAAGGTTAACATTTTTTAACGGGACCAACGTTTGTGTCCCCAAATTAAGGAGTCTGTCACAAAGGAAACATCATAATCACACTGACAGAGGTCTTGGAACTTGCAAAGATTCTCGGCGCGCAGCAGTTTTGATAAAGAGTCTATTGATCAATTGCCCATTCCACGCTTGTGAAATTACATTCCATGACACTTAGACTGGGTTTACATTAGAAGAAATCGTTCCGGCTTCATTTCCCCGTTTACACACGAGTAGACCGTACTGAAATAAAATCGTGTCCCTGTAGATTTTGAATCCGAAATTCCGAGTTGGAAATTCGAATCCGGAAACGTTTGAGTCCGGAAAGCTTATTCGTGTACAACGTTTTGAAGAACGAATCTGGATTCTTTTCGCATGCGATCTTTAAAGTTTGTTGTCGACCCAAAATGGCGTGACATTGCTGGCGATAGCAGATTATCTTATTTTGTTGTAGTTTCATGCAGTCAATTTCAATATAGCTCAGACTGTCTCACTCTCGAGAAAACGAAAATTGTTGTCGCAGACACTATTAACGTCGGCCAAATTTTATCGTAAACGAGGAAGACCTCGTAAACCTAGTCTAGTTCGAATAGCAATACAGAGAATATTTGTTCGTTAAAAGAAAACGATGCAGCATGATATTTCGCTTCATTACTACAAAAAAATACTCATCCCTTTTCATTGTTAGGAACTCTCTTGATTCAGACAACGAAGCTATCAAAGTTCACGCTGATGAAATCTATGAGGAAAGATTCAGCTTCCTTCAAATGGCACTGTTCAGCATGGGATTCACACGAACTGAAAACCACTCATACTTTATATTTCGACCATGTCCTTTGGGAACGTTCTCGAACTCTGCTAAAGAAAACGATAGGGAGTGTATAGAATGCCCTCCAGGTATGTGTTATCGATGATAATGCTTGAAATTATCGAGTAAAAGCATCTCATTGCAGGTGGCAAAGTAACTGCTGAAGTCTATAAATACTTGATCTGTAATGACTGGTCACATTTCTAGTAATGGAAGCAATAGATACAATTATGATTATGGAAACTAGCATCAGTTACCTCTACGCGCCATAACCGTTTTGGGTGACTGCTAATGTAGGTAAGGGGAAGAATTCACAAGAATAGAAACCAGAGTGTTTTAACAGTGCGTGCTTTATCGATTTATGACAAAACACAAAGCCTTTTTTTGTTACAGAAGTACGTTGTATTCATTAACTAAGGAAGATCGCGAGAATGAACATTTTTCTAAGCTGGCGCGTTCAATAATTTTCTACCGTGGGGCGGGTCTGGGCCGCAAAATATTGTTTGAGGCCCTACTCCTCCCACCCGCTCTGCCACCTTGGATTAGTAAAAGTACCCAATTGCCGTACAAAATAAACCGAACCGAACGACAATGATACTGGGTTACAGAGTACACGTATTAAAAAAACAAATACCTTTCTCGAAAAGTTTGAGCTAAAAATTTTTATAAAGAAACTAGAATGTTTAAACAGCCTTCCACTTCTCTTTTTTTTTTCTACAGGTGGTTTTTACTCCGACTCTCTCGGTTACGTGGCCGACAGCTGTAAGATTTGTCCAAACGGTTCTTACGTGGCATATGACAAAAATCCTGGAAAATCAGTGTTGGATTGCAAGACATGTCCTGACGGTAATATGTTGTTACATGTACTTTAATCAGCATCACTTACTCATTGTATTTTATTCACATTAACATACGCATATACCATATATAATAAATGGTTTTTGAGGTCTATGGTTATGGGAATGTTCCAAGTGTCTTATTGATCAGCGTGCACGTCTAGCCGCAATGATTCAAGCTCCTAATTTCAAAGTGGAAACCTGAAAAATAGGTACTAAATGTGTCTTGCCAACAATTTCTTTGAGCATGACTTCTTTTTTCATCGAATTTACGAAAACGCGTGCTTGCCTTTTAAGGAAGATGTGTATTCTTCCTTTTACAACAAAATAAGCGGATGTAAGTGTGCCTTTCCGCGAGCAACAACTGTTTTTCGAACACAAATGTTTTATTAGAACATTATTGCGACCGATAGGTGGAAGATATCGTAAACAACACTAACCCAATGAAATTTCCTACTTACTACTCAAGTGATCTTCTTTAAAAACCAGCTTTGTACGGTTTGTTTCTGTAAATTATCCCGATTAAGAAGAAGAGATTTACCGGTTTTAAAAGGGTTACTTCTCTTTACTTAGTTTACCTGCTATTAAAAATATTTGAAAAGGTTCTACATAAAAACACACTGAACTTTTCGTGTGAGTTTTCTTACCTTTAGATTGTAATTTCGAGCCTAAAAAGCATTTTTTCTTGATAGGAACGGAGACAGACTTTTTTGCCGGATATCGTGCTTGCCCATGCCTAGAAGGACATTATCGAACCCATCTATTCGACAAATGTTTGAAATGTCAAAGTGGACTGGTATGCCAAGACGACTATGCCTTATTAGAACCTGGTTATTGGTGGCAGTGGTGTAATTATACTTATAAACATCGTTATGAATATTTCATAAAAAATGTCATAAAATCTTCACCTGCATTGGATAATTTCTCAGTACAGTACCCTTATCCGATTCCAATACCCTACAGATGCCAGGTTAAATTTTCTCGCGGAGGCGGTTTAAATTCATCATGCCGGGATGGATATCGCGGTCCAATTTGCGCTGTATGCAGTCCAGGGTACCACAAGCAATTTCACTCCTGCAAAATATGTCCTTCACGAGCCTGGATCACATCACAGTTGTTGATTCTTGCTTCTATTTTAATTTTACTGTTTGCCCTTCTGGTGTGGAGAAAAAAAACTAATCTTGCAGAGGAAAAGGGACTCCAACTCATGGACAATTTTCTATCGAAACTAAAGATCTTGATTGGTTTTTACCAAGTCACTCATGGCTTTCTAGACGTTTTCTCTTACATTGAGTGGCCAGATTCATTGCAAGTCGTCTCTAAGTATTCCGGACTATTACAGATAAATTTGCTTCAGATAGCACCGATTCATTGCCTTTTTCAAGAATTTCACGTGGATGCTTTTGGAGACTTGTTTGTAATCCTGTCAATCAATGCCATTGCCATTGTCGGTGCGGGTGTGATTTATGGTGTTCGGAAAATATTTATCTTAAGAATAACAGCTGCATACATCTTTGCTTTACCTGCTGTTTCTCTCTTTGCCCTTTGGAGGCATCGGAAATTAATCTTAACCAAGGGAGATGGTGATGATGGCTTAAATCTAGAGGTTCTTAACGGAGTGCGATTTCTCTTCGAAAATTACAAACCTCGTTCCTGGTATTGGGAACTAGTTGAAATGTCTCGCAAATTCATTCTTACATCCGGTCTCATTCTCGTGGGTCAAGAAAGCAGATCCTGCATTGGTTTAGCCTGGGTTATTGCCGGTATGTATGCAGTGCTTTTCTGTTGGATCAAACCTATGCAAGACCCTTTTGAGAACAAACTCATGTCCACTTCACTCGCCGTGACTATTGTAAACCTGGGTATTGGTGCTGTGAGTAGAATTCCCGCGGAGAACATATCAGACGCGGTGGATCATCACAAGGACGCTTTGGCAATGAAAATACTGATTCTTGGGGCAAATGCTCTTGTGATTGGGCTTCTTGTTGGTAAGATATATTTAGTGTTACGAAAAAAAAACTCAACAGAAACTCTTATCAGTGGTATGATTAAAAAACTTCAATGAAATTTGAAATGACTTATAGCATTGAAAGAGGCTTCTTTAAACATAAAACCGACGTTTCGGAGTAGTCATGACTCCATGATCAAGGTAAAATATATAAAAGATTATGCAAATTACAGCATTTAAAGCAAGTTTGGCGCGAAGAATTAACATCAGAGGGTGCGACGATTACGAAAATACTTTCGCCCGAATGGAGTCTTAATGCACGTCGAGACTTGGCTCTAAAGCTTTTATTGAAAGCTTTTCGTACACTAAACAGTCTAATTTGTTTCTGCATTTCTTGAGCACTTCGAAACGCTTTAGCAGGTCCTGAGGCATCGTCCGGTGCACGTTCTTCTAGTGTTTGACAATGGCGGAGGATTGTTGTTTATGTCCTTTTACACGATTATATAAATGTCCGCGTGTGAAACCTACATAACCTGCATCGCACAGGTCACATTGAAAACTATAAATAACACACTGCTGATTTACAATTGGTGGCTTTGTTTCCTTGACATTTAGTTCTTGTTCAATTTTTCGGCTCACAAACACAGGCTGGATGGTGGTGTGTACTTTCAGGCTCAGATCCTTTAGTTGTTTTCTCACAATATCTGTTGAGATTTGGTCTCTAAATGGTAACATTACGAATGATGGAATTTGAATCTTTCTCATCGTTCGTAGAATCTTGCCCAAGTCTATCTCAGATATGGTCTGCCCTGCAGGCTTCAGACTAGCGAATTTGTATGATTTACCAAAAAAGCATAAGGAGCGCTTGGCGATGCGCCCTATACTATCAACTACACAAACATACAACTACGCTTTAGCAAAATGGCTCGAAACTAAACTCAAGCCTCTGTCCTTGAATCGTTCACACTAACTTACATATTTGAATTTGCGAATGATATTTGCAATTTGAAAATCGCAAACGGTGACATTTCGGTTTCGTGCGACGTGTCTTCCCTCTTTACAACGTACCCTTAGATGAAACGATAGAGGTTCTCGCGAACGGAGCTTTCACAAACAACTGGTTTAATACAGCATATGGCTTGAACCTCACCGAAATCGATCTTGTTGACCTTCTCAGTGTAGCTACCAAAGAACAACTTTTCCAGTTCAATGGTGCCCTGTACGAACAGACAGATGGTGTGGCTATGGGATCCCTTTAGGTCTCTTACTAACTAATGTGTTCATGGCCCACATCGAAGAAAAACTTGAGGGAGAGGACAAACTCCCTTCTTTCTGTTGACGATACGTTCACCATCATTCCAAATATGGCAACAGCATCTAACTTCCTGGACACGCTTAACAAGGCACATTCCTCCGTAAAATTCACGATGGAAACCGTATGCAATGGCATGCTCCCATTTCTGGGTATGCAGTTGCTTAGCCGATCGTCTCAAATAGAGAAAAAGGTGTTCATAAAACCCACTAATTCAAGTCTACTCTTGCACTATTAGAGTTATGTTGACATTTGGTACGAAAAGGGGCTACTTAGAACTATGTTTGATCGAGCACATCGTTTATCTTCATCTTGGTCACGTTTCTCCGACAAATGTGACTAATTGAAGACAGTATTCTCACGTTTGAAGTACCCCAGACACCTCGTTAACTTTGTCATTAAAAGTTTCGTTGACTCAAAGGCTTGTGACCAGCGGCAGCTTTTGTCACCATCTAAAGAGAAAGATGACACGGTACGAGAAATTTTGCCACTTAGAGACCAAATAGCATATTGCCAAACACTACAAGAACGTGCACGGGACGATGCCTCAGAACCTGCTAAAGCGTTTCGAAGTGCTCAAGAAATGCAGAAACAAATTTGACTGTTTAGTGTACGAAAAGCTTTTAATAAGAGCTTTAAAGCCAAGTCTCAACGTGCAATCAGACTCCATTCGGGCGGAAGTATTTTCATAATCTTCGCACCCTTTGAAGTTAATTCTTCGCGTCAAAATCGCTTTAAATGCTGTAATTTGCATGTTCTTTTATATATTTTACTTTGATAATGGAGTCATGACTACTCCCAAACGTCGGATTTTATCGTTCGTTTTACCGTTGTAGATTTATAGCATTGAGCTGCTTTCGAACCCTATCCCAATTGAAAAAAGTAACTTTAAGGTCGTAACCTGGTTTTCTGATTTTTAAACCCTGCGCAGAACCTTTTTTTCACAAACTGCGATATTTTTTGTTCATTAGGCCTCCCTCTTTAGTGATGTTTAGTTCTCTTCTGTTCTTATTTTTTAAAACTGAGAAAAACATTCTATGAATAACATGCCTGTGACGTAACGCAGCTTTCGTGTTTTCGTCTTTCCATCTTCCGCAGTGATAGCAACTCACGTTGAGGTAGTTTCTGATAGTAAAAGTATCAATATCGTAACTCAAGAGAAAAAGACTTACCTTTCAACTGAGCACATGATGTGGGAAATTCAGCCTCTTAGCTCAATCCGCTTTGCCGTTAACATTTATAATACTACCATATAGTGTGTGTATACTATGCTTTAGTAAAGAAACTTATATCATTATAACTTATATTATTTCATTCATTTCCATTCTAGTTCAATACTTGGCGTACTTACATCAGTTCTTCAAAGAGTGGCGCAAAAATCCAACCTGGTCTTTCTCTTGCTGCTTGGCCTTACTTCTTCCCCTCAATGACCTGCAAGGTGAAATTCGTGGAATTGTTGGTAAGAACATGCTAAAAACACAGCTTCAGTCAGGTGTCATTGGGAAACCATCCATTGCTGCATCTGCGAAAGATAGTGGAGCATTGAGTTTTTCTTCTTTCCATGAGGAGAGTAGGCGCCAAGACGATTCAGAAACATCCAGAGTGACCAAAAACGGCAACACTAAATGTGACCGTGGAACACAAACAGAGGTATTTCTTCCTGCATGTGGAGGCAGCATTTATGCCTGTGAGTGTACTAAAAATTCCTTAGCGAACGCGGATTTCTCTAATGCACGGCTTGATATCCTTCTAACTCATTGGAGTAATCATCATTCTATTATCGTAGTAAACGTCACCTCACTAATTGATGTGTATGGTCTCATAATTGTCTGTTTTCTGCTTTGATTCCTTGATTTTGGGGTGGAGGGGTGGGGGTTGGGGTAAGGGGTGCACTGGTGGCTTTTTCGTTTAAAGAAAAGGTGGTGATTCCTTGGAGGCGGATACAGCTGATGCACCCTCTGAGCTGACATCGTCTCCTGCGACGTCAATCATTTGCGTTTGCGGAGCAGTTTGAGGCATTTTTGTTACGATAACTTTGTACATATACTGAGACGATTTGGTATTTTTATTTAGGGTGAGAGTAAAAGAAAGTAAAAATAGAACGATTAAACACAAGCTAGCACTTTTCCTTTCATTTTCAGGACTCTGTACTCTGAAAGTCACATACCACCGGTTGAACCAGAGGAAGTCTTTTTGAAAAAGGAATGAACAGACTCGAATAATAAAATCCAAGACAAATAGCCAAATATTTCTGTGTATACCACAAACAAGGCTAACAAATTTTTTTCATTAACATATTAGAGAAGGAAGTATAGAAATTATCGGGCAGGCAAAATGGAGAAATCAGCGCATTCAGTGAAGTCAAACAACAAAACTTTTGTTGTTTGACCTCTGATCAAATATACTCCCTTTATGCGTCTGTGCAAGATCTAACTGTATTTGTTCATTAGTAATTTTTGCATTATTTCACAGATGTACCACCCTAGTGGATTTTTACACCCCTATATTGAACAGCATAACGGCTGCTTCATTTTCGCGTAAATATGCAATATTTATTGTGATATCGTTATTAGCAGAAGTAGTGGTATTATAATTATTATTATTGTCATCAGCTAATAGTTATTATACTCATGTAATATAAGCTCAATTTATTTGTCAACATGTGCTATTAATTTTTTTTGAGAATGCATGCTTCTCAATAAAACAAAGGTATAAGACATATAAAACAAAGTACCTCGCCGTAACCGTGAAATAAAAGTCTTTCAGAAAATATTGGGTACTGTTCTTTGTGTGAAATTTCACGTTCACGATACTACTCTGTAACAAACGGCATCAAACAGATAAAGACATGAAATGTTCTGAGATAGATGCAAAAAAAGTAGCATTTCAATCTTAGTGAAAAATGCCCCTGGATGAGTGAAGGAAAGGGGTAAGCCTTGAGGCTCTCAGTTAGTAGAGCGGATTCATTTGTTCATGTACATCTAATTTAATTCTTAGCTTAACAAAGCAGCACTGAAACGCTTCCTTGCTCGTGTGGCTCCCTTGAAGAAATTCGAAATGGATAGCTGTACTGGATAGGCTTAAGTTTTTTTCAAATTTTTTCACTCCTAAATATGTGCTGTATTAGTGATGAGGAGAGTTGTCATACTTTTATACTTAATCATGCAAATTTTTTTAACTTATGCATCCTTTCAATTATCAACACCCGTTTTATCTTGTCTCTGAAAGTCTGGTTCGCTCCTCTGGAAAAGATTGGATAGAATCCAGTTACAATATCGCTCAGAGCTTATAATTTTGTCAAAACTCTTTTTATTTTATCCCACTCAAATTATTGAGACTAAGGTGTAGAAATGGATAAAGAGATGGAGGGATGAAGGCATGAACGGGCCACAGAAAAATATACGGACCAACAAGCTTCCGATGTACGGACCTTTCTTTCGAAAAGTATTTTTTAATGGAGGGGGGGGGAGGTCTAAAGATGACATAAAGTAAATGCAGTTAAGATGACCGAGTAAAAAGACGTAGCCTTAGCAACAAAATGAAACGTTGACAACTACAAACAGTGAGGGAGTGTTCAAGAAAACCATGAATAAAATATTTCAAGATCTTCATTGCTGTGAGTAAAAACCATAAATAGTGTAGAAGTGAAAAAGGACGATAGACCTCTCACTAAAAGATCTGAAAAAATTCAGACATAATAGGTCTGCATACATGATTGGTGGTTGGCTCCACATTACATGATGAAAAATGGACCATTTTGGATAAGAAGGACTTTCCCGCTTAGACATTAGATCTTCTTTTGTTATGCAAATTTTTACTTCACTCGCATTGGAGATGTCTGCTGCTTCCAATAACCCACATGCGCGACATTCCCTAAATAGATAGGTTCGATAATGACTCTCCATGCATGGAAAAGCTCTATATCTAGCAAAAAAGTCAGTTTCGGTACCTGGTAAGGAAACAGATATCTCTTATAGCATTAATATATTTTTTTCTTAAAGTTTCAACAGTTACCTTGATTTAGGACAACAAACGTTAAGTGCTTCTGCAAGTGACAACGTCACGCAGAACTCGTAATCAGTCTACGAAAGATTCTATCCTCAGCTTTCAAGTATTTAATTTTCTAATTTGCTTTCGCCTACACCTGGGTCAAATCTTCTTAAGGCTTTTGATTGTTAACAGATAGTTTTCGTATTACTAAACTCAGGCGCAACAAGGAGAGCCTAAAGCGATTGAGGGTGAATTTTATTACTAAAATAGCGAGGCAAACCATCTAAAATCATTGAGAGAAATTAAAATTAAAATTAAAGAAACAGAAATTATTACACTCGCGGCAGAAAGCGTGGGCTGTTTAAAAAGCCCTTCATAACTGGCATCATACAAGGCAGAAGATTAAACCATTTCAAATTTCGAGGCGCACAATAAACAAGAAAACTGTAAAATATTTAGTATGGATGACTTTCAGTAACAAAACTCCTACGAAGAGAATTAGGAAGGGCAAACCAGTTAAGGAAACATCGCGTCACGGCTTTTGTCGGGTGAGCTTGTAATTTAACTTCAGAGATAGCATTCATCCAGTCTTCGTCCCTTTCTGATAACTGAATGGCTGGAAGGCCAAGTTCGTTTAGTTCGCCGACTTGTTCCCCCGCGATGCTGGTGATTTCACCTATTATCGAGCATCTAGAAAACAAAAGGTTAAGATGACCTTTTTTGCTAGTTCTGGCTAAATGATTCAATTACTACAAAAATAAGAATCCTCACTTTGAATTACTTTTCATAGTAAATTAAAGCATTTAATCACCGAAAATATGTTTAATAGTCTCTACTTTCGCATGCTATTACTTGTAAAAAATTCGCCTAATCCGAATGCAAAGTCCAAGAGCCATCATGTTGGGTTATTGAAGATAGAATAATAATAATAATAATAAAAAAGAATTCTGCATCCAGTATAGGCGAGCGACCTTACTGCACTATACTCTCTACTACGGTATTTGTCAGTAAATAAATACGAACCATCTTGAAACAAAGAATAACAATGTAAATCTAACAGAAAAACCTAATTAATTCTAAACTTGGCAATATATGAGTCATTTAGCTGCACATTAGGTCAATTACATTTCACATTCAAAAGCATCGGTTTAAAAACATAGCTAGTACCGAAAATTGCTTTTTTTAAAAAAACATAGGCCAAAAATAAATCACTTGAGCGTTTGAGATAAACTCAGCAACTTAAACGAAAAGGACATTTTGCAACCAGATTACCGATTCCCACTGCAAAAAATTCAGTGGTAGGATGAAGGCTCGTTAAATTAGCGTTGAGAACTTTGTATTGGAAACCATGAGTTTACCAGGATTTATGTTGGAACAGAAACTTCTTGAACATGAACAATCTTTCGACATTAAACAACGAAACAAAAATTTACACCAAAAATAGCAAAAGAGAAAAACAGAAGAAATGCCAACCAACAGCACCCTTACCGGGCGAACAACAAGTAACTCAATCACAAGATAAGCACTCGTCAAACAATAGTGAGTTCATTTATAGAGTGATCCAGTTTCACTTTAAACTAACGCCACTCCATTTAGGGTACACTTGAGGTTTTTTTTACAGTCTATCAGTTTCGAAAATCGGTTTGTGTCAATTTTCTTGAGTACAGTTAGCGTCGCTTAGGTTGCTCTCTGCTTCGGCTCGAGCAATTCTTTACGCTTCTCTCGAGCTCTCCAATAAATACCCACGAGTAGAAGATCATTCGCAGGAAAACAAAGTTTGGCGGCATTACGGATGAGCAGACCATTACTATTATGAGCGATGAGTGACACAGCGGCAAGATGAGGGCGCATGTTCGGCTCTCGACAACTAAAGCGTTAATAAATTCTATTTCTGCAAACTTAAGCAGAGGCGGGTTTTTCCGCCGAGAAACGAAGGTTTTTTTTCCCCAGGGGGTTTGCCTACTGAGGAGGCAATGACAAGAAGAACGAAAGCGGTAACAGGTGCTTCGAACCTCTTAACCATCAATTTCAGAAGACAGCCACGACGAGTTTCAATTGGTCTTAAAAGACCTCAACTTATTTAAATCGCTCGGATGCAGCTGGAGGAAATCCACGAATTTAGATGGCATAGAAAATGGCGGACTTAACGAGCCATCGTTTGCCGCTGAATAGCTAAGCATTTGATCAAGAGAAGATCAACCGGACTCAAGTAGCCTTTAAAGCATGGGAATGGTATTTTCTCTCTCTCAGTGGGTCAATTTTTTTCGTTTAAGTGACCAGTTCATGGTGCCAATGTAAGGAGCTACAGTGGTAGCCATGTCGATAGTCAGCAGTTTATCTTGAGTTTTCATGAGTTTTTTTGTGGCAAATAAAATTTGATTTTTGGCGATCATTTCAAAAGTTAGCCAAATAGCAATTTAAAAAAAAATTTCAGCTAAGAGCCATGTTGTGGTATTTGCCTTATTATTTTCAAATTTGCTTTACAATTTTAAGGTGTTAGTTGCTTATGATGGTAGTTTATGTGCAATTATTATTAATTAATTTAGTTAAGGGAAATATAGTACTTGTTGTTATTTGAAATGTCAAATTTAACAATCACAAAACATAAATTAAGACAACCCCATCAGTTAGAGACGGATGTGCCTCTCCCAAGATATGAATAACGT